ATCGGTGGCGCTGCCAACACCGCTGTCAACGCTGCCCAGAAGGGTATCGCCGCTGGCCTGAACATCGCCGGCCAGGGAGCCCAGGCCGCCGCCCTCGCCGCCAAGACCGGCATCACCGCCGGCCAGGGCATCCTCAAGACCGGCATCGCCGCCGCTGAGAACATCGCCGAGGTTGGCGCTGGCATCGCCGCCAACGCCGCTAAGGTCGGCGCCGGTCTGTTCGGCAACGCCCTCAACATGGGTCTGGGAGGCATCAGGACCGCTGCCAACATCGCCAACGCCGCCGTCGACACCGCTGCCAAAGCTGGCCGCACTGCCGCAGGCGCCGTCGGCACCGCCGCTGCCATCCCCATCGCCGCCGCCGGCTCCGTGTCCCTGCCCTCCGTCCGCCTCGCCGTCACCGCCTAAACGCGTCCGTGAGGAAAAGTGATCATGTCATCTGATCTCATGGTTGAATAAAACTGTTTGCAATTTCAATTTGAGGTTAGTGCTTTCCCCAGTGCAGCTGCTTACTTTTTACAGTTTGTTTGCCATGTCGTGTAATAATGGCAACGAACCCCAACGGCAGCGATAAAGGCTATGTGCGGGCGAGCGTGGGGCCGGGTGGCGCCGGCGCGGCTCTGTTCGTACTTGCGGGTATCGGTAGCGCAGTGCACGGCGCAGCGCCCTCCCGCGGGACGGAAATTGTATACGAACTTGAAACCAGTTTTTGCGGCCCTCTGGAGATGTCACCTAGGGAAGGGCACTCTTAATTGTCACACTCTAGCGGACCGACGATTTCAGAGTTCACATGTGCACTTCTAAAAATTTGTGAGTGCAAACCGGTGCACTCACAATTTTTTAGTGTCATGGTCAGAGTGCAAGAGTCACTCTGAAATTCTCTAAATGGCAATCTTAACTCTACCCTAAACTCACAATTGTACAGAACACTCAGAATATTGTGTCAGTTAGAATTTTCAGGGTGTCACTCTCAAAATTCTGAGTGCATTTCCAGTAGTGCTTTCCTTGTCTTAAACGCCCTTTCGCTAAGAGGGTTTTTTAAGAGGAGATTTTTATTTTTTATCAGCGGTCCACGCTTCTAAACAAATTGGCTGTGGGTGTTCTTATAGAATATTAAAAACGTGTGTTAAATTTCATAATTTAAACGAGTTTGGGTCAGGTAAGTGCGGTGCGAAAGACATTGCAGTAGGCGGTGAAAAAATCACAATCAAGAATCGATCTTGAAAGCAGATGATACAAATTTAAGAATAGGTCCATTTCTAATTTTCTCCCATATTCAGCTGACGTTTGTTTATGGCTGCTTATTGTTACTTGCTATTTTCTAATTCAGCGTTCTAGCGGCGTTGCGGTTGCGCAGAGCATAGGGCGCGAGCAGAGCGGCCGAACTCGGTGGCCTGTATTGTTGTGCAGGGTCAGAGCGCGGCCGTCGGGGCCTGCCCGGGATGCCTTCCCTCCCACAGAATTGTTAGTTGAGGGCCTGACGCGAACCGCGAACCTCAGCCAGGCACTCACTCGCACCCAGAAAGCTGTTTCTTTGAACTAAAGAAGTTTTATTCACTTCAACGAAAATTTCGTTCATATAACGAAAAAATTTCTTTCACAGAACGAAAGTTTTGGCAGATTGAACAAATTTTGTTTGAGCTAAAGAATGTTTTTCTTCTAATCAACAAAAATATCGTCAGTTCGGGATTTCGTCAATTCAAAGTTACGGTCATCTGGGTGCGTGCACCATGCCCCCAGCGCCAAATAAATTGTTTTGTAGTACCCACTTGGTTCTCTGTCCTTATCGAGAGTAAAAGCAAGATGACACCTTAAACATTTTAGACGTTTAGTCGAAAGGTATTTAAGGTATCGTCTGCTAAAAATGATAAATTATGATTTATAAGAAAACGAAAAGGCAAGTAAGTTCAAATTCACCAGAATTAGTATCTCAACATTTATTCATACAGATCAGATGACATGATCGCTGCTCCTCAGGGACGCGTTTAGGCGGTGACGGCGAGGCCGACGGAGGGCAGGGACACGGAGCCGGCGGCGGCGATGGGGATGGCGGCGGCGGTGCTGACTGCGCCAGCGGCAGTGCGACCGGCGTTGGCGGCGGTGTCGACGGCAGCGTTGGCGATGTTGGCAGCGGTCCTGATGCCTCCCAGACCCAGGTTGAGGGCGTTGCCGAACAGACCGGCGCCGACCTTGGCGGCGTTGGCGGCGCTGCCAGCGCCAACCTGGGCGATGTTCTCAGCGGCGGCGATGCCGGTCTTGAGGATGCCCTGGCCGGCGGTGATGCCGGTCTTGGCGGCGAGGGCGGCGGCCTGGGCTCCCT